ATCCTCCATACTTCAGATCGCCTTGCCCGCGCCATCCCCAACTGCCCCACATTGGCTTACAGGCGTCCTCGAAATCTACGGGACTTGATTGTTCGAGCTGAAGTCCCTTCCTTAATTAGATGCATCCCCTCCCACCCAGCATGGTACTTTCAAGTGCAGTTACAGATGTTTTGTCTGCCAGATTCATATCCAGGAGTCTGACTCCTTTTCTGGCCACTCTTCTGTCACTACCCACAGAACCATTGGTAACATCACTTGTAACACCTCTAATGTCATATATCTCATTTCTTGCAGGGTCTGTGGAGTGCAGTATGTAGGTGAGACTAAGAATACGCTCAAGAAGCGTTTCTATGCCCACCGGTCAACGGTCAACACCAAGAAACTAGACACCCATGTTGGTCATCACTTCAACCTGCCTAACCACTCCATTTCTGATATGATTTTGCAGGGCATTGAATCTCTTGGCCATCGCAAGGACTCAGTTCGCCTCAGCAGAGAGAAAGTATGGATGAATCGTCTTCGAACTATTCAACCACATGGTCTCAACATCCAACTTGGAAATGATTAATCCTTTTCTTCCTCCATTGTCTTCTGTTACAGATAATCCATCTGGTCTTCCTTGTTTGTGTTTACCCATCTTCCCCCATCTTTCATCCCTTTCCACCTCAATACTGTTCCCCCCCCCCCACATCATCCCTTCACTCTCACACTTTTTTGTCCGTTCCCACTCCCTGTGACCTTTGATCCTTCCCCTTTCTGGTCCCTCCCCTGTTTACACAAGACCCCTTGTGGTTTGCCATCTCCCTTTGTTTCTTTGTTCTCTCATCCACCCTCCCCTGCATCTTTCCACACCTTTCACACCTAATCCTCCTTTTGTGTTTCTTCTTTCAGCCCTGCATGTTTGTGTGCACCCCCATGTTAATGTATGTACCTCTGTCTTTTCTGTTTTAGCCTCTGAAGAAGAACTTGCTAAGTTCGCAACGTCAGGCAACATTAATTTTAAGATTTATATATTTCAGGTCCATCCAGTCAGTAAGCAGTTTGCAGCAGTTTTACTTTTTTTCATGTTTCAACTTCTCTGTTGCAGTATCCCTTCGTGGTGATCCTCCTTGCTGACATGTAAAATTCATTGTGTTTTGTTTTGTTCCTTCTTTTGATCGTTTTATACCATGTACTAATCAAACTGTTCTCTCCACACTACAGGTACATACAATTTTGTTTTGCTCTGTCCCTTCAAAAGGCATGAGCAACTCCATTTGACTTGTACTTTTTGTCTTCGTGTTCCTCCACTGATTTATTGTATTAACCATTTATTCTCTCCCTTTCTACAGATATGAGTGACACCATTTGCACTTATCATTTAAATCATCATACACAAACAAAACACACTATACTCATTAATTTGGGATTGTGCGAGCTGCAGCAACCAATACTTTTAATTAGATTACACTGTTTCATCGACTTCTCAAATATACATCATTATTACTGATAACTTTGCACGATATACATCGAGATATATATCAACATAACAAACTGTGAATTCGACCCATTGCTTTTGGTGATCGCCAGATACGAAAAACCACAAACCTTTTTGGAAAAAGTGGAAACGTATGCCCTGACCTATGCTGACCACCGCTCTCAGGCTAGCTAAGCAATGATAATGGGAGGTTCTTAAAACAACATATTTTAAGATAGAATTACTTTAGCCATTACAATAACATATAATTAAATAAATAACGTGTGTTGCGTTGCTGCTAGCAAGCGTGAAGTGACGCGTTTCTCCGCTAGCATCACATACCACTACCTATTCAAAATTCCCGCTCTGACCATCGAACCATACAATCATTAGCATATCAATGATAAATTCGATGCATTCTAATTCATTCTGGACTCAACCGAATACATCAACATTTATCATTTAAATCATCATACACAAACAAAACACACTATACTCATTAATTTGGGATTGTGCGAGCTGCAGCAATCGGCTTGAATAAATAAAGAACGGGTGGATGTTAGATACCTAACCGCTGAGAAACAGATAATAAGTTAGAGAAGCTCTCTTGGATATAACCATCTTTAGCCGTCCCCGACTTCCAACGCCCATGGCGTTTAAACAATCTGTCGGCTACACAAGCCTTAGCAGCCTCTGAGGCTCCACCTGATCTTAAACTATGTAAAGAAAATTTGAAAACGTCTGCAACTACTGGAGAAATTGCTTTCAAAACTAGCTCTCTAACTCTGGAATATGACATGGGCTGATTGTTTTTTTTCGCAGGGAATAACCATATTTAACTTTTGTTAAGTTCCTGAACACAAAAGCCTCTTTATCACCACTGGAAATCTCTGCAAGATTAATATAAAGTTCTAACATGGCTACTGGACAAGTCTGAGAAAATGATCTAGCAATAATAACTTCACTGCCCTGTCTGTACACGTCTGTCTTACTTGACTGAATCCGGATTGACAAATGGTCATGATGGAACATTAAATCTTGCATCTTAAGCGAGGCTAACTCATTAAATCTTAAGAAACCTGCAAAAGATATTAAAGCCATAGCCAAAGTTCTAATGTTCATTAGGTTATGTACTGATCTGTCAGCTCCTTGCAATTGTACCATCTGTACTAGGATCTCGGGTGTTATTGGCTCTTTTCTTGCCCTTGGTTTAGCGGGTGTTCGTTTGAGTCCCTCTATGACTTGAACAGTCAATGGATCCTTCATGGGGTCGTCCAAACTGGCCATGCGATGTGCCCAGGAAATTGCTGATGAAGCACTGATAATTGGTGATGGTGACGCTGCTGAGTTGCTGATGTGAACCAGATATAATGATATTATATATGGATCACCAGGAAGGGGAGACTCGTCATGTGACAGTGCCCATTGATGCCATCTGGTAAAAGATGAGTTGTATTGAGTTACCGTGCTTGAAGCTCTTGAGCTCACCAATATGGAGGGCAGCTGGTTGGCGAGAGAACTCAGGTCTTGATTGTTGGCGCTCCTCGCGAAACGGTGTCTCCAGTTATCACTGTTGAAGATTAGCTTAACAAAGAGACAAAGAACTTTGTTACAACATATATGTTATTACTTTACAATATACACCTTTTAATTCCTAATTTTCTCCATTTCAGAATTGACCCCCTGGGTCTCTACACTAGTAAGGCACCAAGCCCACGCGTTCTGAACGCTTGTACAGAAACTCATTGATAACTGCTGAACCTGACCGCTAGTACTGTACTGCGCACAATATCATGAATGAACTTAGAGTTATTACTTCGACCATTCTCAAAAAGTGGGAAAGGACTCACAAATTCATGGATACTTGTGATTTCTGATCTTACATTGTAACCATCTGGGAATAATAACACCCAGTAAGGGGATGATCTCCAGGCGGGGCATATCAATGTCCCCTCAGCTCTGTTGGCTATTAACTGATGTATGACTCTTGGAATCAAATGTATCGGGGGAACCAACCAGTTATTTTCCCCTGCCCAATCTTGTGTGAACGCATCGGTTGCCTGAGCACCTGGATTCCAGAATCTAGAATTAAAACGAGTTAATTTGGAATTATAATAACTGGCAAACCGATCGATTGTGTGAGGACCCCACATATGATCAAGTAGGGAGAACATCTCGTGTGAGGTCTGCCAATCGTCATAATCGACCAGCTTACTTATGAAATCTGCCTTTTCGTTCTTCGATCTCGGCACCCATTCTAATTCAAGGAACACTCCATTGCGTACACAATTACGACATATGTTTAACACAATAGACTGTAAATCTGACTTCATACTGCCTGTGCAAACTATTCTTGTAACAGCTTGATTATCAGAAAACCATTTTACTCTGGTGTTTTTGAACTTGTTTATTTGGGATGCTAACACCATGTCTATTGCTTTTAATTCTCTCCAGGTTGAACTATGTTTCCTTTCATTTTCCGACCACTGACCATGACTGATCGAATCATTGACATTTACTATGTAGCCTCCGAAACCATTTTTGCTTGCATCTGAAAACACCATAGTTGAACACATGGGTGTTAATTTTATTGGAATTTCCTTCAGATTATCTATGTTGTGTAACCAGAAGAGGAGTTCTTCGTTGGCTTGTTCTGAGATGACAACTTTGGAATTCCACGAATTTCTAGATTCAATTACACAATGCATAGCTTTGGTCATTACCCTACTCATTGATCCCACAACTAAATAGGATGAAACAATACATCCTGCCACACTGGCTAGATCTTTGACTTTGACGCAGGTTGACGAACCTGCTGACTTGGGAGTTATTAACAGTTCTTGAATTCGTTCCTTGATGCTGTTTATTCGTCTGTTTGGCAAAACAAGAGAACCATTCTTTAGGTCAATTATCAGACCTAACCACTCGGTCTCTGAAACCGGGTCCCAAGTACTCTTGTGTACATTAGGTACGAACCCCGCATTGACCAGGTCAACTTTAACTTGAGCACTGTGCTCTCTGGCTTTCTGAAAGCTCTCTGCATAACACAAACCATCGTCTAGGAACACAACTATTTGTTTACCTTCACTTCTCCACTTCTGTACAAGTGGTCTCACCACTTTGGTGAAAACGTATGGGGCAGTGGATAAACCAAATGGTAATACAGTAAACTTGAAGAATGTAAAGGCACCTTTGTAAAACCAGGAAAATCCCAAGTACTGTTGATGTTCGAACGAATGCTAATATGGTGGTATCCCGATTTTAGGTCAAACTGGAACATAAACCCCCCCTTTTGAAGATATAACATCACTGTACGCATATCTTCGTACTTGACAGATAGCTTCCATAAAAACCTAATCACTTCTCTCAAATCTAGTATTAATCTCCTCTTGCCTGATTTTTGTACTGAAACTGACAAAGGATTCACTATATATGGTTGTTCTGTGCAAGGCAAGACGCAGTGCGTCTCTAATAAATCTGAAATTGCATTTGTGACAAATTCGCTATTATTGATGGCTGAGCGATTATTCAACCCTTGTTTGGATTTCTCAACATTCGGTGTGTGTGGTGGTGTTTCATAAAACGGAATCATGTATCCGTTGCTAATTATGTCTAATACATAGGAATTGGCATTAATTGCTCTCCAAAAATCATAATGATGATGTAAACGACCAGCTACTTGAATTTTGCAACCTGTGGAACACCTTTCTTCATACTCAAAGAAATTATCGGTAAAGTAACATAACTCAACTTCATTGATCGTGTTAGACTTGCTTGCTGCGGTGTCCTTGCTAGGTGGAGAAACTTGGGGTGTTGCTCTTGTCTTGCCTTCTACTGATGTTTGTACAGGATTTTCTCCAGTGACCTTGGCTTCCGCAAGCGTAGCAGATGTCTTTGCTGGTTGGGAATCGTTGGCCACGAAAAAACTGGAATTGAGAAGCAGGAGCGACAGAAGTAGTAGCGGGAGCAGGAGTCTGGTAGTGGTAGTCACCGGTCTTGAATCTCTTGGCCCCGGCGGACTTCTTACTGGACGCCGCTTTAAGCTTTCTGGCCGCCCTGTCTTCTGCCCTTGTGTTCTTCTTGTCATCACCGGAGTCGTTGGCCAACTCGTTTTTCTCGTATTCTTCGACTGTTGCCCAGCCAGAGGGGCTGGTATCGGCTAGTCGGATTAGCTTTTGACGATGCTCGAGCAGAGCTTTAATACTGGTTAGCTCTTGCTGCACTTCAGTGGACTGGTTTTTGCGTTCAGCTTCCACGACGTGATCCAATACAGACTGATTAAAGTTATATCGTCGTTTATGGCCTTCCCTTTTCCAGGTTAATTTGACGCTAGTGGCGGATTTGAGCTTCGTATCAAAATTTGCAGAAGCTTCAGCTATCTTGTCTTCCAGTATCTTAGCTCGACTAGATGAGAATTGAGCCAATAGCTCCTGAATGTCCTCTTTCGTAGCTGGAGTTGATGACATGTTTAAAGTGTTGAAAATGGCGACAGCTCTAAAAAATAACGTGTGTTGCGTTGCTGCTAGCAAGCATGAAGTGACGCGTTTCTCCGCTAGCATCACATACCACTACCTTTTCAAAATTCCCGCTCTGACCATCGAACCATACAATCATTAGCATATCAATGATAAATTCGATGCATTCTAATTCATTCTGGACTCAACCGAATACATCAACATTTTCCAACAGCTCAGAAAGGCAAAGGAAAAGGCCTTACGCTTTTCCTACCATCAGGATAACTACAGTTTTTACTCCCTCTCTCAATTTATCCCCAAAGGTTTGCAACTGTCTCACACTCCCTGCTTAGGAAACCTCCCACCGCACCTTCAAAGGAGATGGAATCAAGTTATACATGGTGCCTCTATTAAACTCATCAATATTCTCTCTCAGCAGTGTCAATTTACACGTGAGGACCTCCATCAGAATATTTCCCACCTTGACTCCCAACTCAAATCCAGTTGTTCTGACTCCACGTACAGGAATTTCCATGATGAGATTGAAAGGGGTTTGTCTAACCTTGACTCTGTCCTACTCAACAGGAGAAACAAGAAGATTGGTGGCTTGCTTGCCAAGCAACAGCAACGCAGACACAGACGTTTCAGACGTCCTAGGTCCCCATCTACCACGCCACCGCCAGAACCCCCTGTCAACACTGTAGTAATCTTTCTTCCTCATCAATATCTGACGCAGAGCACACATTTCTCTCCAAGGGTCTCAATTTTTGTCCCGCTTCCTGTTCTGTGAACCAGGTTCAGCTCAGCCAAGATCTCACGGAATACTACCGTAGAATCCGTCTGCGTGAGTCTTTCCTGGACAGTGAACCGTGTGAGCCAGAGCCTTTTCGAGTCAAGAGTTAATGGGTACCCCCCAAGAATCGTGTGCCAGCCATAGAGACATACGTTCAAGTTATCAATTCCCAAGTCACTAACCCGGACAACTTCCCCCACAGGACTCATGATAATCTCCCCAGAGAGGAGCGCCTGGCGCTCATCTCCTTGCGCTCTCGGACCGACACCATCATCAAGCCAGCAGATAAAGGTTCAGCTGTGGTCATCATGGATCGTCAGCAGTACATTGATGAGGCCCACCGCCAATTGGATAATCGCACTAACTATACCCGCCTTGACTCTGACCCCACAGGCACTTTCTGTCGAGATATACAACAGGTACTTGACGATATGCGATCACGTGACCAGTTGTCCAAGAAAGCTCACAAATTTCTTTCTCCCTGTGATTGTAGGACTGCCAGATTTTACCTTCTACCCAAGATTCACAAGGCTGGCAACCCCGGTAGACACATCATCTCCGGTAATGGCTCACCCACGGAACGCATCTCCCTGTTCATTGACAGTTTTCTCAAACCCCTTGTCCCACAGATTTCGTCATACATTCACGACACCCCAGACTTCCTACGCAAGCTTGAAGGAATCAAGGACCAGATTCCCAGCACAGCCATCATTGGGACTTTCGACGTCTCATATCTGTACACCAACATCCCACATGAGGAGGGTGTTCGTGCTTGCTCCTTGGCTCTGGCCAAGGCAGGACACACGACTCCTCCCATCAGTGATGATGGCACCCTCTTGAGACTTATACTAACGAAGGACAATGTTTCCTTCCTTGGTGAACACTATCTACAGGTACACGGCACTGCAATGGGCACTCGCATGGCCCCGTCGATGGCTTGCCTCTTCATGGGCGACCTCGAAGAACGCATTCTTGCCTCGGCCCCATGTCGCCCTTGGATCTGGTGGAGATATATTGATGATATTTTTTTCATCTGGACCAGTGATGAGGACAGTCTCTTGACCTTCACTAACCACATCAATTCCTTCCACAGAACCATCAAATTCACATCGGAGTTCTCGGCTCACCAAACCCACTTTCTGGATGTCGCCGTCCGCAAGCAAGGCAACTCACTAACTACTGACCTGTATTCCAAACCCACAGACACCCACCAGTACCTCCACTCCTCCAGCTGTCACCCCAGGCACTGCAAAACTGGCATAGCGTTTAGCCAGGCACTCAGACTCAGAAGAATTTGTTCTAATGATTCCAATTTCTCCCGCCATACACAGATACTGAGGAACAACTTGGTGGCCAGGGGTCACAGCTCTCGCCAAGTTCATCGTGCCATTGCCAGAGCTAAAGCTATCCCCAGAAATCTAGCTCTCACGGGAAAGGCCCCTGATGCCATGGCCAAACCCATGATTCCCTTGGTTACCACGTTTCACCCCAATCTACCTCCCCTTCGCAAAATCACTAATGACAATCATCATATCCTCCATACTTCAGATCGCCTTGCCCGCGCCATCCCCAACGGCCCCACATTGGCTTACAGGCGTCCTCGAAATCTACGGGACTTGATTGTTCGAGCTGAAGTCCCTTCCTTAGATGCATCCCCTCCCACCCAGCATGGTACTTTCAAGTGCAGTTCCAGATGTGTTGTCTGCCAGATTCATATCCAAAAGTCTGACTCCTTTTCTGGCCACTCTTCTGTCACTACCCACAGAACCATTGGTAACATCACTTGTAACACCTCTAATGTCATATATCTCATTTCTTGCAGGGTCTGTGGAGTGCAGTATGTAGGTGAGACTAAGAATACGCTCAAGAAGCGTTTCTATGCCCACCGGTCAACGGTCAACACCAAGAAACTAGACACCCATGTTGGTCATCACTTCAACCTGCCTAACCACTCCATTTCTGATATGATTTTGCAGGGCATTGAATCTCTTGGCCATCGCAAGGACTCAGTTCGCCTCAGCAGAGAGAAAGTATGGATGAATCGTCTTCGAACTATTCAACCACATGGTCTCAACATCCAACTTGGAAATGATTAATCCTTTTCTTCCTCCATTGTCTTCTGTTACAGATAATCCATCTGGTCTTCCTTGTTTGTGTTTACCCATCTTCCCCCATCTTCCATCCCTTTCCACCTCAATACTGTTCCCCCCCCCCACATCATCCCTTCACTCTCACACTCTTTTGTCCGTTCCCACTCCCTGTGACCTTTGATCCTTCCCCTTTCTGGTCCCTCCCCTGTTTACACAAGACCCCTTGTGGTTTGCCATCTCCCTTTGTTTCTTTGTTCTCTCATCCACCCTCCCCTGCATCTTTCCACACCTTTCACACCTAATCCTCCTTTTGTGTTTCTTCTTTCAGCCCTGCATGTTTGTGTGCACCCCCATGTTAATGTATGTACCTCTGTCATTTCTGTTTTAGCCATTGAAGAAGAACTTACTAAGTTCGCAATGTCAGGCCACATTAATTTTAAAATAGGTTTTAGTCATGTTGATTGTAGAACATACTGGACCGAATCGGGCGATCTTCAATGTCTTTTTCATTTAATTCCCCACGCATTGGTATAAAAAGAATTGCGAAGGAACATGGAGCCCAAACAATAACAAACGTCAAAAGTCCGGAGATAATTATGGACGAAGCGTATAACGTGGCTACAGCATGGCTAAACATATAGCAACGTTTACGAGTGTGTATACATTGTATACCGTTACTAAAATTTGTGTGAAAAAAAACTTGCAATGATCAAGTCGACTTGTCCACAAATGAACTTGTTGTCGGCAAAATACAGCAGCACACTTTTGCATAAACATGATTAACAAATTCAAACCAATCTCCCAACTTGTCAAATCAGCTGACATGGCTGATTCTTATTTGTTAATTCGACCCTAAGTCAATTGACGATATACATTTAATGTGGGTCACAATAGTTTCTGCCCTAACTCCCTCCCTAAAACAAGCATTGGACAAAATACATGTAGTTCTTAAAAATTGTGAAATTCTCTTGCAACTTTGATGTTGAAGGAATCTGGTAATCATGAACTGTAACTGAGACCGTACCATAACATTATAACAGTTTGTTATATACATTAATATTATATCACTATTCTATTCTGCAACATATCTAAAGTTGGTTTTAAAGGAAAGATTCTCTACTCACCAACCTTTTTCATCCTCCATGTCCTCCGATATTCTTTCTAGCAGAGTAGAACACACCATCATGACCATGGAAATTGTGATCATGGTGATGAAGGCAACATTTATAAATGCATTAACGTCCATAAAATTCCATCATAAGTGTTTGTAGGAAGAGCGATTAAGTCTTGAAAGTTTCCATAGGCATGCACTTTACAGCCAACATTCATGTTTTGAGAAATACTGTCTTAAACTTCTTGTAGAAGTACAACATTACCAGCAATCCATTCTTAGATCTGTTCCTTGCTCTGTGGTCCAACTGATTGAATTCAAATCTGCCACACTGGGAGATTCAGGTATTGACTGGTATGCAAGGTTGTGTGTAATGTATGTTGGGTGAGACTGGGTTACCAGCGGAAGACAGTGGTTGTAATCTGAATCATCAGTTTTATCTTCAAGACGGTTCAGAAAGATTTTGCGGTCATTTTCAACCCCTTTATTCATGTTATTATCCCGCTCATTGAATAGCAAAACCCTAACCCTCCGAACATACAGTGTACATATATGTCTGACTTATTGTCAGGCCACTAACACTAAAAAAACTGCCTGAGTTAGTTTTACCCAAGAAAGGGTGCAAACCGCAACTATAGCCAAAGTTGGGTTTTTCTATAAACCAAATGCTTGGGTTAGGCTAGAATTTCTGTTAAATTCAACAAAAACCTTTTGTCATAAAACTAAAATTTGGGTTTTGATGAATGACTACATTTTGTGGTTGAATTTAACAGAAATTCTAACCCAAACAGTTGTTATAGAACAACCCAATTTTGTGTAGTTGCAGTTTCACCCTTTCTTGGGTAAAATTAACTCAGGCAACTTTCCGCCAACAGTTCGAAATTTGTAGAATGGCTTATTATTCAATAAAAGTGAGTGGATGTGTCTCATTTAAAAGTGAATAACTATTGTATTGGTGGGAAAATATTAATTTAAAAACAAAATCTATTTTAGGATTAGACTCGAAAATAGCAAGGGGGGGGGGGCAAATGTAACGCGATCCTTTTTCCATGCAGGCTATTCAACCGATCACG